ACATGAATTGAAAAAGGTTGTAGGCGTGAGAAGGACGATGATTGTTGATGATTCGATAGAGAAACGTATGTAAAAAAATATTGTCTTCGGGAGGAAGGGAAGAGCCACCTTAAATCAATTAAGTGGTGAGAGACATGGGAGCATCTCGGGGCCACAATTATAAATCTTACGCAGCTGTTATTAGTCTTTTCAGTCTATCACGGACCTCCACCGAGAGGACATCATTCACCACACAGCTGTAGACAGCGGAAGGGGGCGGGGTGGCCGAATAGGCTAAAGCGTGTGTAACAGCACCGCTAGTTGTCTGGCAACCGGATAACAGAAATTTGAGACGATATAAAAAGTAGGAGTTCGCGTCCCGGTGCCGGAGGGGATTTTAAATTTCCCCGCCCTCACCCCCCGGCCCGGGAAAATCCCGTATAGCCTAAAAGGCGAGGTAGGGAAGAACAAAAAAAAAAAAAAAAAAAAAAAAAAAAAAAAAAAAAAAAAAAAAAAAAAAAAAAAAAAAAAAAAAAAAAAAAAAAAAAAAAAAAAAAAAAAAGCTGTAGACAGCGGTGTTTGATACGCATTTAAAAAATACGCATTTTTTAGTAGTATTTGGTAAGGATAATAGTAATTGTGACATTCTTTTTTCTGGTATTTTAATCCATCTTAAAATCATAATGTTAAAGAAACGATCATTAATAACTAAAAAAGAAATTTAAATAATAATAATAATCAATAATAACATCTACTTTTTGATACTTGGTAGAAAACGGCCTCCACAAACTTATATTTTATAAAAACTTACAGTTAAACGTTTTATATTAACTTCAATGAAATAATGTATATTCTGGAAATAATAACTCGAAAAGTTTTTAAAAACGTTTTTTAACTAGCAATTACTGATTTTTATGACAGACCATCGCAAGTATTGCCGAGCAAAACGCCAATGTAGCTGTGTTCGGCATTCACAAGTACCCACCTGACGAGAGAGATCGTTGAACCTAAATCGATTATATTACCCTTTGATCCATCGAAGACATGCATGCAGTTTGGAAAGATTTAGATTAAGCTCAGAATCATGACTAAGATCAGATAAAAATTCTCCCGATTTTTCCGAAGTAGGTTCGACGATTCAAGCTCTTGTCGAGTTAGAAATTTTAATAGGGCTCCTTCCGAGACATGAGAGCGAACTTTGAAGTAGAGCATGTTCTACGCTAATCGGAGATTGCTTTCTTTGTCGTATGTGCATATTGCTCCGGTAAACACTTGCCAACATGGTGTTATGTAAATTTCTTCCATCTTCTCCGGCGATGAAAGCAATATTTATGCAAACAGGGGGATAAGTTTAAATGAAAAATATGAGCAAGGATAATCCTTTACCTTCTTCATGTGCAGCTTTGATCATGCTTCAATCACAATTTATATTATAACATAATATTGTTATAAAAGTATTACTTTTGCGGAAAATATGCACGGAATAGATTTACTATAATAACCTGTTAAAAACACTAAAAATGCCATTGACGTATAATATCTACAACCAAATTTTTTTTTGTGGTTTTTATTTATTAGTTATACATATTCCTGACTTATAATACATTTTTCATCTACCGCGGTATTCAGCAAATATGATATTAAGGAGAATAAATGATAGCATAAAAAAAAAAAGAATAGTAATAATAAAAAACAAAACAAAAAAAAAGTAGTGAAATAACACACAAAAAAAGATTATATAGCAAGTAGCTCAATTCAATAAGTCCCTTGGCCAGCGCCTCAGCAGTCTTCTGGGCGAATTATATGGATTTGTAGCAGTCGATAGAGCTTGAGTTAGTGGATTTGAATTTAGAGTCAGTCTGTCATGAAAATTATTAAAGCGGTCTGTGGCAGTTGCCGTGATGAAAGGAGTGTTAAGGTCAGTGTGTAACGTAAGGTTTGAAACATAAAAGGATGCGTCTACAATTTTTCGAAGGACTTTTGCCTGGAATGACTGAATGATTTTTATATTTGATTTCTTTGCTGTTCCCCATAGTTCGATCCCATACATCCAAAGCGGTTTAATGAGGACTTTGTAAATAGTTAATTAATTATTCACAGATAAGTTAGAACGTCTGTCAAGTAGTCTGTCAAGTTTTTTTCTTTTTTGTTTTATGTGGTATGTCCATGTCAATCGTTTGTCTAAGTGGAGACCCAAATATCGTACAGTTTTTGAAGGTGGCAGAGTGATATTATTAAAGAACACTGGAGGAAAAGATTTAAGTCTAAGTGTAAATGAAACAAATTGGCTCTTAGACTCGGTCATTTCAATCCTCCACCTTTTAACCCAACAAGCTATGTAGTCTAGGTGTTCTTGAAGAACATGAGAAGCCTTAGCTGCATCCTTGTTAGATGTTAATATTCCCGAGTCATCAGCAAATGTAGCCAACAGTGTTTCGGAATGTTGTGGGATGTCTGAACAGTAAATGTTGAAAAGTGTTGGACCCAAGACACTGTCTTGAGGTACTCCAGCTTTTATTTGTTTGATGGCAGAAAACTCAGTCCCCATTTTCACACGGAAAAATCTATCTTTTAGATATGATAGTAAAATTAAGTAATACGTCGGAGGAATAATCGGTTTTAATTTATGTAATAAACAATCGTGCCATATTCTATCAAAAGCATGACTCATGTCAAGAAAAACGCCGGGACAATACAATTTTGACTCTAGCGAGAAAGATATGTAATCTACAAGGCGGTAACATTGCTGAATAGTCGAATGATGCTGTTTGAACCTGTACTCGAAATTTAGAATGACATCAAATAGTCTAATTGAATTTAAACGACAAAACCGAATTTTTCGGAATATTTTTTGTGGTTAAGATCATTTCTTATGGATAAATTAATCAACATATATAGCTGAAATGTTAAATAATATCGTTGGAATTTTTCATATAACTCACTTATTAGTTTTTTTATAATCATCCTCTATCAGAAATCAAAACTTTTAAAGGTATTAGGTTGTTACAAAAGTCTTTGTCCAGCTCTCATAATTAATCCTATAAGAATGCTTTTGTTCCTACCATTTATGTCAATGTTTACTTTGACTAATCCTTTAATTCTTTGTGACTCGAGTTGGCTTTATGGAGTCATTTGTATTTTTAAATCGCACTGCAATGTCGGAAGAAAATATCTTGAGTCGCGGTTCATTGAGAATTTACTGGGAAGGTCTCACCGCAAATGCAGCCACCGAAGAATTTGTGCCATAGAATGAGAGTCAGTTATCCATCCAAATACTGCCGCACTTTCATTTCCACGATCGGTTTGGGAAAAAGTGATGCTTTATGTTCTGTGAAGAAAGCTTGTGTAAAAGTGAGCTTGACCTGATGATCGGGCGAGGACTCAAACCTTAACAGTGAATAGCTAGACAGATTTATGCAGTTTTGAGTGCAATGTAACAGAAACACATTTTGCAACACGACGATTCCCCAGCATATCGTTCTGGTTTGACCTAGCAAAATTATCGAAAATGCAAGCAGCAAACGTTTTGCCTCATTTTGCGTGTAGCCCATATGTTGCACCATCAGATTGTGGTTGGTTTAGGTCAATGGCTCTTTTATTAAAATGTCAGAACTTTGATAATTACGAGAACGTAAAGACTGAATGTGAAGTTGTTTGCCACAAAACCAAAGGAGCTATGCAGGCATAAAATCCAATTACTGGCAGAGAGATTGTTGAAAGTAGTTGAAAACAATAGACTTTACTATGAAGAATCGTATTCAATAATGTTTAAAATATGCAATAAAGCTATGCTTATGCACTTATGGTTTCAGTAATAATCTAATATTTTTCCACGTTGAGGAACAATATACTGTATTTAGTTACTTGATAACAACTCTTATGAATAAATATTTTAATAAAATTATAAGTCTTTCGATAATTATATCACCCACCAACAAAGAAGCAACACACAAACTGATTTCAGTATGTAAGTAGATATTTTCATTTACTAATTGTATCCCGTTGGAGTGCTACCAATGGGTAGTTTCTCCTCATACTGTACATGTCATATTACTTGTTCATATTTACTTGTTGTATTTATTATTAATTACAGTTGTAAATTTCGTTAATAAAAAAAAAAATTGTATCCCTAAATAATGTTTCATTTCAGATTTCATTAAAGGAGTACTGGCCAAATCACTGAGGGGGGAGAAGGACAATGCACTTTCTGTTCTCCGAATATTTTAAGAAGGGAGTCCTGCCTCTCCAATATTTTATTGTAATTAACTTAAAATAACAAACAAAAAGCTCAATAAAACGTAAATATAATAATTATATTATTATAAGTTGTCCCTCGAGAAAAATTCACATAGTATATTGGTCAGTGAACAAACGATAACAAAATGTGGAAAGTTGTAAATTCAATGAATTATGAGGGGGAAAATGGATTATTATTTTTTTATTTTGTTTTTTTTCATACTTGGACAATAAATAAATAAAATTGGCTGTATCTAATAATTCGATAAGCTATAAATAATCTGATTTAGATGATTTTTTTCTTTACTAAGGTAATTTGGAAACCTTTCAAATTTAATATATATAACAGCACCATTAATTATATAATTTTTGAATTATGCTGAAGTAAAATTTCCTTTTCTTCTTAAAATTTTCCATATGTGCTTATTTTTCCACCTGAATGATGGCTCAGTCTTTGGTCTTCATGAAGAATTAACGAAGAAACAGAAGAAGTTACTTATAGCATACCGACAAAAAAAAAAAATAGTTTCAGAAATAATATATAATATAACAGGTAATAAACTGATTATTAAGCTATTTTTTTATGTATGGCGTTCTATCCTCCCTTCCCTCTAATACACTGAACACAATTATCAAGTCCCTCAAACCTTCGCCCATCCCACTTTTTCTTATGGATAAAAGTTATAGTTGCATAATTTAAAATTGTTAACTTTAATATACATTCATTAATACCTTTATTGAAAACAGTATTATTTAAGGTACTTCGTCTTCTTTTCCTTTTTTTGATGCTTCTGTTTTTATATTCTCCTGTAAATTAAATTTTAAAAAACAAAATCATTATTCGTATTCTACATTAAATCTATTATATATTATACTTATATATAAGTTAAATCGATTGATATCGATTAATAAATCGTGTTTAAATTAAATAAAATAATTACGCATATTTTTTAAGTTAGTAACAAAATCCAGTTAGTCCTTTCTGGATGGTTTTTGGAATGAGCTTGCTTTTTCTATTTTCTTTTTTTTTTCCCCTCCGGCTTGGTATTTTCAGGCGATCTAATCAGAAAAGGTCGTTCAAGGTCCACTGACCCTTCAGGTTTTCGGTGGAAATTGGAAAAATCTGCCAACAACGAACACGGAGGGGAAGTCCAGTCGAAAATAATCTCGATAAGAAAACAACCAACAGGTTAACGAACCAACTATGAAACTCCTGCACATTCTTCTTAATATTCTTCATTTATAAGAATCATTTAACTTTTATTTATTTAAATCTATTATTAATATTGAATAGTAGTACATAAATCAGTTTAACTTACATCTATAGTAATGGTGACGATTCTCAGTATTAATGACCCTTACGAAATTAAAAGATACTTTTAACTTTATTTTCTTTAATTCTTAAAATAAATGATATGTTTTAAACTATGTTTTCTAAAAGATATTTGGAATAAAAAAAAAAAATACGAAAGTGAATGAGAAAGTATAGCAAAATGAACTACACTAAAAATAACTATTTTTAGTGTAGTTCATTTTGCTATACTATGAGGAAATAACATAAGGAAAATCTTAATAACATTTGAATAATGAAACTTTTTTTCTCACAAATTGATATGACTGGTGTATCTTCGGTCTGTTTTAATTACCTGAAAACTCAATTTCGAGAAAATAATATTTTCAATCTTTTGAAAATATTACTCTCAAACATTAAAGTACGCTATCGCAAATATATGCCATTGCAAAATACAAATATGTCCGTAGTAATTCTTACAAATTAAGTTAATATAAATATTATAAAGTAATTAATTCTCACAAAATGTCCACATAGGTAATGTTGAGGAAGGTTCCCCATCGCTCAATGTAATAATAAGTACACATTCAGTATCAGGAATCTCTGGGCAACAAGTGAAACATGCGACAAGTCAAAACACATGACCTCTAGAAAACACGAACTAATAAATCTATGATTCTGCTATTTTTTTTTTTTCTTTATAACAGTTGATCATTAATAGTTCCCATGTGCATTCTTTATTGTTATCCTCATAATGGATAACATGTGTCATTAGCACCTCATTACAAAAAACTTTATGTGATTATGAATCTTTAAAAAAAAAAGGGTGGGGCGCTTTAATGGATTTTGTTGAAAGATCTAGTATGAAAAGCTGAAAATCTTAAAATTGGCCATTTCGACTTTCACTTGTAATCCAATGGTATGTTTTCCTGTTGCTGACAAGTAAAAGAAAAATTAGAGAGGATGTTTGAGTGTTAGTAAGCAGGTGAAGCACAATAAACTTTACACATTGCGGAAGAAGTAAACTAAAATCTTCACTTTCGGAGTTATGGTTTGTGCAAAGCAAAAGCATGTGCTAGTGTGAACTGTTCTTCGCTTTTTTTCTTTTATTATATTTTTTTTTTTTAATAATTCTTGTATTCTGTGTTGTGTGGGCAGAGTGGATACGTGGTTAGTTGCTAGGCTAATAGTGTAGATAGTGCTAGTGATACCTTGTGGTACGCTCCAGGCGAACAGTGCGACGGTACTGAACGACTAGAGCGGTCGACGAGCACACCATCTGCCGCCGGCGGGAAGGCACCCCATTGGTTAGCCTCGACTTCGCCAGAGTGTTCTCAAGTCGGCATAGCATCGATCCCGCCCGCGGGAAGGTTAAAAATTTCATCTATCTACTTTTTAAGTCTTTTATACCCCGGGGTCAGTCTAAGGGCGGTCTACTGCTTCTGCTGTCTCGGCGAAATATCCCTGGCGTGGCCGCAGTTTATATTTTATGCATACCTCAACTAGCGTTGCAATATACACATTTATTTCTCAATTCACTTCCTCCTATTTTAACAGCTAATTAAAGACATAAAAATCACAAATTTCCTTTTAAAATATTTTACGAATATCTATAAATTACTCCAAATGTATATACAGGGTGTCTCGTAAGTAGATGGGAATTTTCTGCAAGAGCTACAAAAAAGTTCATATAAACAATGGGCCAATTTTCAGCAGAAAAGTAGCATATCCAAGTTTTGTGGCTTTTTAAGTGACTCATGTTTTTTATTAAATCGAAAGCAATAACTAAATAAATATTCAATTTAATTAATTAATAATTGCTTCATTGCAAACAAGTTTAAATTTACTTTAAATGTACATAGAGTTTATCATTGTTAAAACCTCTTAGATTAGAAAATTTCTGTTTTTAGAAAAATTATAAATTATTCGCCATTTTTTTTATCATCATCCAACCATACTACAGTTTTCCGACTTTTACAAGAACTTCTTCGTTTAATTAGCTTTGAGCTCGTATTAATTAAGTTGAGGTTTATTTGAGCGAAAAATTTGAGATTCAGCTCAAGTTTTGAAAAAAAAAAAAAGATGATATATTTAACCTGTCAAGTAAAAGCACCCCTATTTTCAGAAAAAAATACTACAATTAATTATTGCAAAGTTTTTATAAAATGAATTGGGTAGAATAATGACAATAGTAAGAACTAAGAGATAAATAATGATAATTGTTACAAAGTGTGGAATGATGAAGTGAACGTAATCAAAATGGGGACATAAGTATTAAAGTGGTAATCTTAGAATAAAATGTAAAACAGAAAAAAAGAATATGAAGTTATATAAGAATGAAAATAAATATTAAAATTAAGATATTGCAAATAGAATAGTTAGATAAAAAATTGAGATATTTTAAAGTTTATCAAAATGTACAGACAACGTATAATGGAATAAAGAGTTAAAACAGAGAAAAGGAATGAAAGAAAGGAGGAAAAAAATATAAATGTTAAAGTTATTTCAAATCACATTATACACAACGATATAAACATTCAATAGTAAATTCTTACTCTAATGTTCACTTAATTTTAATACAATACTAAAATCAAAACTACTACAAAACTCTTCAAACCAAAAACATCTCAATCTATTCGGTCTATCAAATTTCTCCTCCCTGTTACCTGCTCGACGCAAATTAAATGGAAAAGGCTCAAAGATCTGCTCCATCACCAATAACTCACTATATATTCAATCAATAACCCAATAAATGGAGACCATTGTCAAGAAAAATCACAATAAATAATCATTGAACATGAAATTTACTTAAATCTCTACAGCTCAGTTGCAAATATCGTAAACAAATAAGATATTTTCTTTAAGTGAAAACTTCTTTAGGTACGTTTTTCACTTTTTTTGTAGAGATTGAAAGATTGAGCTATCAGATCTCCGACATGTAACGCGCGGGTAAAGTTGGCTAGAGTCGACTAATTGAAGTGTTTTTGCATATGGATTAAAATATTTCAAACACTAAAAATCGGGCCTGCACATTGTTGGCGCGAGAAATGTTCATCATTTCATCATCTTTGTAATGAACTATTATTAAAAATTGTATCTGAACGTGACTCCGTGTTAGAGAGGCTAAAAGAGAAAAAAATAGTGTCGAAAATCAAATTATAGGGAGTTTTATCGAAGAAATGAATTAAAATATCTAATAAACCAAAAATAGGACCTGCATACTGTAAGCGATAGAAATGTTCAGCATTTCATTCTCTTTATTATGAGCCATTACTTATAATTTATATTTCATATTATTAATCTCTCCTTATTGATGTATTAACTTCTATCGTGTAGTCTAAAGCATACACCTTAGATTATTTTTTTGAGCATGTATTATATAGAAATCGTTTGGGTTCAATGGTGAATTTAATATTTGATGGATACCCGCCTTGTTAATTAATAAATTGTTCCTTGGCCCCTAGGAGAGAGTATCAATCAATTCACTGGGAGTGTATTGTTATATATATATATATATATATATAATATATATATATATATACATATATCACTGCAACCCACGTTCAGTATTGATGTAAGTGAGAAAGTACTGTTTCTAGGCCAGCGGTTGTGCAGGGAGATGACTGGACCGAGGTCATGTTCAACCGCCATTTTTCCCCCTTAATTAATGATTTATTTAAGAGTATCAACTTTATAGAGACTGGATGTGCCCCAGGAGGGTCTTCCGACCCCAGGGTCAATCCACGAATGATGAAAAATTACGGAATCGGACTCGGGCCCTTGAGCTCAGGAAGTCAGTCTCTGTAATTTTTTGTGGGCGGGGTGGCCGAATGGGCTAACGTGTGTGCACAGCACCGCCTTTGACCGGCAACCTGATCTTTGAGACAATGGACTTAAAATTTTTTTTGTTTTTTTTTATCTATTTATTGAATAATAATACAATCAGCCACTGGAGGGCTATAAGTATTAGGGCTAAGAGTTCTCATTCAAACAATATGTACAAATAATAGAGAAATAAATATAAATGTAAAAAGTAAATAAATAATACTGATGAAGAAAGAAAATAAAAGAAGAAAAAAAAAAAGTAAACAATAACATAAAAAGAAATTTTAAACACAATCATACCTATATACAATATATACATTCGCCCAGGAATCTCCGAGCCAGGCTTTTTCCCCCACATGTGGAAGGCAAAGCAAGACTCCAGGAGATCCCAGTGCCACTTTTCCAGCCGCATCACTAGTATTAGAAGTGACTTAAAATAGTCACGAGTTACCGTCCCGGTGCCAGGAGAGTCTTTTAAACACCTCCTTGCCCGGGAAAACCCCGTATAATCCTCCCCTTCCTCGCCTTTAAGGCTTTAAGGGGAGGACTAAAAAAAAAAAAATAAATAAATGAAAAAAAAGTCAGGCTCACCCACTGAGCTACCCCACTTCCCGATATTAAAATAAAAATTGTATTACTTTTTATATATAACAATAAGGAAATATATTTACAAACGTCATGTATTATTTAATGCTTCTTTCTAATTATTTCTCTTGATTACAATCCCATCTGAAAAAAAACTGAAAGCCGAAATAAGTTTATTTAATATTCCTATTTGGCCTATTTTTAAAAAATATAACATATCTTAGAGGTCTATGATGTGAGACCTATAAAAAAAAAAATTGTTTGTCTCTTGTTTTTCAATTTGAATGATGTTTGTTCAAACTGACTATATTCGTTATCTCATTTATTTATGTGAAAAAATAAATAAATTCTATAAAAAATAAGTTTCCTCATAAATATATATATTTTTACCGAAGTTATTTACATCTTTGATTCAACAGATATGTTTGAATATTAAAAAAAACCCTTTGTTAGAAAATATTTCAGCAAAATAACCACGAAATACACCAATACAGACCGATGTTTACATATTAGTTTTTTATGTTGTTTTCTGTAGTACTATTTATATCTCATAACTCTTCACGAAAACCATAGATCCATGATTTTCAATATTAAATATACGATGAAAACGAACGTTTATTTGCGAGTAACTCTCCCCATAAATCCAAATTTATTTAATTATATACTTGATAAACTTAAATGAGATTTAAATTTCTACTTAACAAAAAAATAGTCGAAATTGGACCAGTATTGGCAAGATGCAGGCAGCCTTTGGTACACTTTACGCATATGTTGGTATATTATTTTCAATAATTAATCTTACCAATCAACTAAAAAAAATTTCCTCTTCCCCCCACCCAAATTTATTGTGTTTGCTTATTTATTGCTATTTGGTCTCTGAATTGTTCTCACAGGCCAAAGTTTTTATTTTGAATGACTGGTGGTCATAAAACGGAGGCTCTGGAACATTCAATGCAACCATGGCTCTTCATAGATTGTAGTGCTATAGTTATTATATCGAGCTTATTTAGGCATGTGCACAACGTTTCGATTCATTCAAAAATCTAATAGTAATCTTCGCTATGAGTATTACACAGGAAAATGGAGGGATCCACATCGGAATGAATCATAAAATCCTTGGATACGCAGATGATATAGCTCTTCTTGGAAGTAATCAATAAGACATTGAGAAACTCTCTACAACACTGATAAGAAAGGCAGAGCATTGCAAGTAAATGAAGACAAAACAAAATAT